TGTATTAATATATGATACACAAGTGCGAATAGTCCGTTTTTCCTTTAATATATCAAAGTCTCATTAAATTATTATGAAACTATTAAAATATTTATATTCTAAACTCAGAGAATATGATCAATTATAATATTATTATAATAATATGCTACAATGGTATGCATCGTATGACTATAAACTGTTTTTTTTTTACTTTTTCCATGAGAATATTCTGTTTTTTTCCGATAAAAATGATTGGCATGCAGTTTAAAAATATATATTATTAACACTTTTAAGTACAAGTTGGTATAGGCGAATATTAACGAGAAAACAATATAAATTAAATACATAAATGCGTATACGTATAGATACCTATAATTTTTCCTCTGCACGGTATCACGGCGATATTATATAAAGACTTCGCTTACAGGACTTAATTGAGGTACGTCGAGACTTTGAATCATAATTGTTCGCATGTAAGTGATGTAAGTGATGACGGACTGCTGCTATACAGACTGCATTATTATGTTGTATGTGTATAATGCTGTTTTACATTTTACGGTTAAATGCACGTAAAATGCATCATTATTATTATAATAATACTTGCTGCTACAACTGACATTAAAACGAGCGCATAATATTAATAACGTATAACAATTTACACATTTAAAATAAACCGAGTTATTATACTACCGAGTACAAAACAAAATAAAGTTGCTAATTTATAAATGTTTTGTCGGTGATTCCGTGTACAATATTATATACACTATAATACTATTATATTATCACAGTACGACCTAATCAATTTCTCTGCGGCCGATTATGAATTGTATACATTTGTCACCATTAAGATTCACAACCTATAAAAATAGTAAATCATGTTTATTGTACGGTTACAGAGTTATGATTTTTGTTGCCGAGTCAAAATCACGGTAGCTGAGGTACATTATAATATACATCATTATATTTTATTTCCTTCTATGACAAGGGGAATATACCCCTATGGCGATACATTTCATTTTATTTCTGGACAGGTCAAATTTAACGGTTGATGCGACTTAATTCTTAATTCTTTTGCACTGTACTAATCGATTACAAAATACAATACTAATAATACTTTGTCGTGGTATAATTTTATATACCTACTTACTGTTTAAAGCGTATAGTTATAGTTTGTATAACGTCGGATTCTTTGTCAACGATTTGTGACCTACCTATACATGAACTGTCTGATCTGATGAAAAATAATTGTAAAAAATTCTTTGAAAGTGTCTAAAACTGTGACAAAAAGCGTTGTGTCGAAATACGTTCTATGTTTTACAAATGAATGTACAGGAAACGTTTACATAACAATTATATAGAGGACAGATTTTTCGATAATCAATAATTTGGTCGTATCGAGTCTATTCTGTCCCTGTGATCAGTTTACTCCCTCCTGCTACTTGACATGTAGTTGACAGGTCAGAAATGAGTGTATATTTATGCACTATTTAAGTGTATACACCAGTGCAGAGATAAACCATTAAAATGGTATAAATATTTTTGTTTATATGGCGCTAAACTCTGTCTTACAAACGCATAACATAGCAAAGTGTACGCTCATCATTGCAGCAGATCACGTTTAGCTCTGTTAGTTTAACAATTATAGTGAATTAACTACGTATAAAATTTAAAGGTAATACTATTATCCAGTGAACTTTATAGGTTTTTTTAGATTTTAATTTTAAAGCAAGTTATGAGTATATTAAAATGCATAAACAATTTACAATTTTAAAACACTCATAACTTACTTTAAAATAAAAATATAAAAAAATCCCTATGAGGTTCATCAGATAATATTTTTAAGTCTAAATTTTATAAGTGGTCAATTCACTTAAATTTTTAAACTAACAGAGCTAAACGTAGCTGAGCGTACAATTTGTGATGTTATGCGTTTATAAAACCGAAAACGCATGCGGGTGTAGGGCCCTCATAATTAATGAGCTGAGTAGTTTTTATAATAATTAATACTGCCGTTCGGCCTGGCCACTCCACTCATCAAAACTTTAAAGTATATAAATACTTATAATACTAATTTACTAATATTCCAAAATATTTTCTGCATGTGAATTCGAAATCAAAATCGTACGTCGTCAAAGTAAAAAAAAATTTTGACGATAAAAATTATGAAAACCGTAAAAGAAATATAATTTCTTAATAACTTGGAATTATGTGAAAAAAAAATACTTCGATGTTAACAGTTTTCAAAAAATATTATGAGTGTCTTACGTTGAAAAAAAATGTATGCGTTTTACAGGTCGTCTGCCCCAGCCGGTACAGCAGCAGCAGCAGCAGCCACGGGCGCTCCAACCAAGCCCAGGTCTCTCGCCGCGGATATTATAATCGGATACCAATCGCCAACACACACACACACACACACAGGTACGACTAATAACGCATACACACAACGAGTAATAAACACCTATATATAGTGTATATGTACATATAAGGCAGGTACTAGACGTGCAATCATTTTAAATTATATATTATATTATTATTATTATTATTATATTATAGGTATATGTTTATAAGATGTGTAGTACACGTCACCCGATTGCTGCGACCTCGACGCGGTCGTCTGAGAATGTAATAATATATATGTATATACTATATAGATAGGTATATATTATATATAGCATAATATAGTATATGCATCGCCCCTGCAGCGATGTGCAACGTGCATTATAGTTTATAGACGCACATATTATAATATTATGTACGTACCTAATGGATAAGTATAGCTGTTGCATGTACGTATCAGGGATGTGATCCAGAATTATAGTACCTATTATATATTTGTTAAAGGTACTTATTGTCTTATAATTAATCGATGTCCTTGCTATACGTACGTTGTTAATATCATATATATATTATGGTAATATTGTGGTCTATGCAGAGTAAAAAATTGAATATTCTATATTAATCCCATATTTTATGTTTTATCAATAACTTGTTTTAATTATTGCAGGGCATGTAGATTGTCATTTTTAATCAATAACGAAATTCGGTAAAGACCGTGGTGGAAGTGCCGTGAAGTAATGTGTAATGAAAGCGATATTTAAATCAATGAAATATACGTATCAGTGCGCAGGAAAACTAAGTAAAAACATTCGGTTGGACATTTTACGATAATTTTCTTTCTTCGAGTTCAAGTAAACAAATTGATGAGCATACTATTGTATCATTAGGTAATATTATACACGCGTGCAGCTGATATGATGTATGACAAAAATACACTCTCCCATTACTGCAGCAATCGAGGTATATGACGGGTGCGTTCTTAATGACTTCATTTCGCGGACGGCCATTGGGTATAAAAAAAAACGCAATGCACAATTCTTTTTGTTTGTATTATAATATATTATTATTTGATTATAACGACCGAGTCTATATACGTAGGTATATATATGAATACGCATTTATACTCGCAACAATAATAACACCATTATTATGAAGCTATATATATATACAGCGATGAGCTACAGTATCTATATACACGTTCACTTCTCCCCTGGATCTCACGCCATGGCTAAACCTTCCCATCATCATCCATTCATCCCCCTCTTCGCGATCTGCGGTGCGGTAACCGCGGTACCCGCCCAACCGGGTTCCAGTACCTATATACCTACTATGTATACGGTCGTCGCGCGCGCGGTTTTCGACTACATTAAAAACGAATAATACAACAACAACAACAACAATAATATTATTATTATTATTATTATATCGTAATAACGGCGGCAGCGGCATCAACAGCAGCAGTGGCTCAGCCGCGGTCGTCGTAAGGTGCGGGGAAATCGTAATGTATTAAAAAAAAATTAAAAAAGAAGAGAAACCAGTTCTGTGTACGGGACACGGAAATTATGGGTTTCTTAACGAATGGCGAGTGACGACCTATCGTTACAGATAATACTATATGTCTATATAGGTATATAATACATATATACATTATAAACATGTTAATAATATTACTAAATTACACGTTCGGCGTGCACCCATGGAGACAACGATCGTTCTTCCGTCTGTTGCTGCACCGCTGCATTACAATACATTATATTTATATATTAAATAGTGTTAAATTATAATTAATGTGTCGTGATTTGCACTGAAATAAGTTTGGGTTTTGAGGTGTAGGCGAGTGTTGGTGTACCTCTTCTGTATACCTATTGTGTTTTACAGAGATTCGTCTCTTTCGAGTTCTATACACAGGTTACACTCTATATACAACTCTGCAGTTACATATTATATTATACTCAGTACCCTATACATGTTTTTGAATTCTGTAATGCGGGGCACGGGACTAAACGGTTGGTTCTTAAATTCCAACAACTTACAATTATTTTTTAACTCTTGTATTTCGCGCATGCGCAACAACTTCCACTTTTTGTCTATGTACCCACCGTGTTTTCGTGGTCACACGGCATATATACAAAACGCATATGTACATCGGCATCTAAATCATAATGCCACAGTATGACGTGTTGTACGCTGCCGTGCTAAGCGAAAACAGGATAACTCCATTTTTCGTAAAAATGAGATTTTTGTTACTATAGGTAAAATTAGTGGTTTTACGCCGATTTTTGATGTAAAAATAGCGTATTTCCTATTAAAACCCATCTTAAAATGAAATTTAAAATAAGCAAATATGCGGTAAGTCCAGTATATTTGATGTTTTCTAAACGAAAACACGGTAAATCCAAATACTAAGCAAAAACTCGGTATATCACATGAAAAAGAATGGAGTTACCGTGTTTTGGCTTATGTTCATACGTTACAAAAAAAGGGTATGTACATGACACAACATTTAGTCACATTTTATAAATTAAAAACAATGATTATTTGCTATATTATTTTGTAATTTACTAAACTGATATTGTTAAGAATATAATTATGGTCTCGACATCACTGTACCTATTTATCCTTATCATTTATTATCATGATAATACGATCTACGAAAATACGATTTTCAACCAGGCCATAGCTTTATGTCTGCGGATTCATTCCACCATCAGATTGAACTTTCCATGAAACATATGGGTAAAATATATGACTTTTGTGATTATGAAAAATCAATAAAGAATTCAAATAAAGGCCATGTAGATGTTAAAGTATTAGATGGCAAAGATTTTTATGATTGGAAGTCAGAATGCTCTTTGTATAAACTAAACAAACAAATTAATCGCCCAATGTTGAATAGTATAGTTCATATAAGGGCCGAAAGAGGACTGAAATACTTATTATACAAATGTACATATGATGAGTATACTCCGTACCAAATGCTAGACTTCTTAAAACTATCATTCATTAAAAAAGATATTGAAAAACCTCAACAAAAAAATGAATTAAGGGGTATTCATCCGGAAAAAAAACAAAGTATTATAAAAACACTAGTCCCGCTTATGCCAAAGAGTAGACAATAATTTTGGTTTGATATTCCTACATCAGATACAGTTAATGATTTATATGAAGAACCTGAAAATTAGAAACTGCAAAAGTAATGTGATATATAATATTGTGATAGGAACCAATATTGTTAACATAAATTTAAATTTTGTTTCATTTTATTTTTAACAGTAAAGTTTATACTAAAAAAATATTTATTTTGTTGTTTAAGATTTCATTTATTTTAATTGTTTTTGGTGATGACCACCTAAAAGGTATTGTTTTATTTTGTTTTTTAAATATTTAATATACTAAAATAAAAGTCTAATTATTTTGTAATAATTTTTTTATAATGAAAAAAATTAAAATTATTTGTTTGATAAAATTGGAGTTACACATTTTTTTACATACAAACAATGTTGTATGATCATAGACTTAAATATGGTATATCCAAAAAAGTCTAAGCAATAACCCGGTAAGTCCATTATTATGGAGTTATCAAGTTTTCGCTTAGTTAGTCCGATATTGATTTTACGATAAGTCCATTTTCTCCTTAAAAAATTCAATAAAGTTAAAATAAAAAGTGTTCAACCAATACTAGATGTAAAATTAGATATATCTGCGCAAGGTTTGACCAATTTTTTGAATAAACACTCTTTCTAGGCTTGATTTACTGTTGAAAACGTTATTTGGTGTTTCTCAATAATCATGTTAACTGGAGTTATCCTGTTTTCGCTTATCGCGGCAGTACGTAAGTCGTGTGATTCACAAAATAAAACGACAGGCGTGTATAGTTATTGATCTAAAATATAATATATTTATTGAGCCTATCATGTGCTTCGATTTTCTATAAACCGCCGCCGTGATGTTACTATACAAATGCCTTTTTACAAGCCTGTACTTGAGAGACACCATTAACAAATATTTTTACGGTCCCCCTTTAGAAATATTTCACCCAATTATATTCGCACGGTTGAGCGATAACAAAACTATAAGTAGGCACACGCGTAATTTTTTTCTTTACTCCCATACTGTTGAAGTGGCTCAACGAAAAAAAATGATGTATTACCATTATAATATTACACTAACTATGATTCAATACTACACATTATTATAATATGTACGCTGTGTTATATGATATTAAACTGATAAGTAATAGTTATTTTTTAAGCAACGTACATTTTCGTTTTTTTACCAGCCCTAGCGTATAAAGCATCTTAAACATCTTAAACATCAACAAGCATCTTTAATTTATTAAAATACCTAAACGTATGCACAATGTTATAGCTTATAATATTCGGAAAAGGTAGGAAAATATTATGCATTGATGAATTGCCAATAAGGACGTATAACTGTATAAAGAATTGTTTCTTATTTAAAATTAATAATCGCTTTAAATTACCAATACAGCTGTGTGGACCGATGCCGTATTTATTGAAATGTAAATTTTTTCAAATAGAAAAATAATAATTTTTCGAACTCCAGCATATTCCTCAATAGCAATACTCCCCATATTTAAATATTTTTACAATTGTTATTGAAATTATATATTGACATATTAAATTAAATTACGGTGTGTGTTTTAATTATTACCGATGTAATAATATTTCGCTTCAATTATACCTGTTAGAACGGCTTGTAATTTACCAAAAACACTCAATTCTGTATTATTAACTAGATAATAGTAAAACGTTTATCATACTTATATAGTATTCATGTCTCCAATAAGTACCTACCAGCTATTTAGTAACAGTTCTTACTGTACATAAAATATGTTCAATTAAAAGTTAAAACTTCAAATTATATTAATTATTATTTAAATATATTTAAAATAAGTGCTAGTGTTATATAACACTAACTACTAAGCCTATATGGTATACAGTATATATTATATAGTATATACACTATACAGTATATACCTATTATATATATATTGATGTATACGCACTTAAAAATATCGGAAATAGCGATTACAATAAATACGCTGCAAGTGTTTAATTATAATATTGATTATGCAATATTATAAATTTAAAGTTCGACATAAATGATATATGGGCATTATTTTTGGCTTAGTACCGTATCTATATTATTATTATATTATGTAAATAATACAATATTTTTATATATTTTTTTTTTATTGATCATGAAATTATACATTTTTGCTTCGGCAACAAAGGCCATTAGCATTACATTTGTGATAAAAAAAAAATTAATTATTAAATACACATAGTTTTAAAAACAATTTGGTTATTTATGTATATTACAATACTTATAAAACACGAAAATATTATATTATTGATATTTCAAATGTTAATATAATAGGTGTTACGTAACTCTTAGAACTATTAAATAACATTTATCATTTAATTTATCTAATGAATTTTGTTTGGCCTATTACGAAATTATAATTATTTATTTACCATAATAATCAATATTTAACGAATATAATTGTATATTATTTAATTTATTATTAGCCGATAACTACCGCTGTTGAGCTTACTCCAACCTTAGAGACTTTTGGACATTCAATTATATAATTCATTTTAGCTTTAAATTGCAGGAAAGGAAAATGTATGTCGTAATATAAACAAATTAAGTATTTTCTTAAATTTAAAATCTAAAACTAAACTGGTTAAAAATCATAATGCAGTATGGATGAATTTAAAATCTACCGATATTTGTATAATACACATTTTAAAGGTAACGCGTTTATCTAAATAATATTATTATAATTATTTTTTGTTTAAAAGTTTACAGGCTTCCACTGCTAAGGTTATTAGCCAACATTTTTTAAAAAGAGATTTGATATTTAAATACGTATACAATTAAAAAATTAAAAAAAGAAAAAGAAAAATTAAAAATTAAAAAAAATTAATTATTTATTTGAGTTCGGGTTAATTTTGGTTGATGAAAAATAATCATTCAGGTCCTATGGATTTTGGGTGTTCGAATTTTTAGGGGTTTATTTAAATGTTACAGCCTTATAGGTACCAGTTAACTCAGTTGGAAGGAAACCTCTGGTTTCAAGCTTAATATTTTAAGCCAACAACGTACAAGAATAGGATATAAGAAAGGTAGTAAAACTATTGTAAACATGTAGGTTAAGATTAAATTAATTATTTTTGTCTAAAGTATATTGCATGCACTGATGATCCAATTCAAGATTGTCTAAAAAAAAAAACCATAAAATAATAGGCAATCTAATATTTATCAATATAAGTGAATAAATTGTTTTAATTAAAAAAAAGTTATACACTGCAGTGAATACTGTGAATCTAAACTATTACCACTATTAAACATACAATAATTGATTGAATTTAACATAACTAAATATATTTCTATATAAACTCTGTTGGGAAATATTCTAAAAAGATTTAAGTCACTATTGGATGTAATTAGGTTAAACTAAATTTGTATGTACTATAAAAGGCAACACATACCTATAAGGTACTGCATGATACACATGTATGTATTATTGTAAGTGTACACAAATTAACTATTCATCGTCCTACATGAAAATAAGTTTTAAAGGTACATAGGTTTTTGGTTTTAAGACGATGACAGTTAAATAGTTAGTAATCATAATAAAATAGAACGTCAATTAATTTTTCGATAAAATACATCACTCAAAACTATGTTATTACAGTCAGCGCGTATTGTGACTCTGTGAGTTTAACCTTTATACCTACCCTTATGACCCCCGATTTTCCGTAAATCGTGAACACATTTTCTATCAGTCTAAATTCCAACCAAAATATGATATCCATAACTATCCAAGTTCGGAGATTGACGATTGACACAAGTTCAATAGGTACCTACGTCTATAGTATCGCAGTTATAATATACTAGTAGGTAGATAGAAGATGTAGAATATTTTAATATATCATGAGGATGTCTATAATACAAATTGTATAAAATATGTTCATTGACGTCTTAATTCCTGAAATAGTGAACGTATAGAAACAAGTTTTTTTTAAAAAAAATGTTCTCATAAATCGTTTAAAAATACTATAATACATCTCAAACACCATACCATAGTGAATAATGCAATAAGAGTTCGTTCAAATTTATTCCGCCCCTTAAACAGGTGGGAAAAAAAAATGCGAAATTGAATTATTATAGTAACACAAACGATTTTCGGTACACCAATAGGCAATAACCTTTAACGTTTTATTATGTATATTTTCCGATTGCTGTTTGCCAAATAGATAACTAAATATAATCGAATTTGGACGCGTGCGAATGAAATTAAATCCAAATGTAGGTAGGTAAGTAGGTATACTTATACCTACTATACTATAGTATAAAAAAAACTAATAAATAATAATAATATTGCAGCCGTGTTGTGTGTCATGCGTTTGCTGTATATATTTGTATAATATCGTTATTATAATATCATACCGGCTATATTATTTTAGTAACTGACATGGTTATGATGTGTAATAACGTTTCGTAATATCGGTCTAATGCTCGTCGTGAGCTGTAGAAACGACGAAACCAATATTATACACAGTACACATATTATAATATAATATCTATATACACTTGCTGCGTGCGCAGTTGATTGATCGGGAAATAATTTAATTGAAATTAATTTTATACTCATTCATCGTTTCGTATGCATATGTATATAGTAATAATAGTAATATGTATGCGCCTCGAGCAATATTCGTATTAATTTTTTTTTTACCAACGACGTCCTATGGCTAGCTACTTGTTGATTATAATTAAAAGCAATATATTAAAATATGGATCTCCGTGACACGTACGTGTAAAACGTATACATACTTATGATATATAGTTGTATAGATACTCGCAGCACGTGGCTTAAAATAGGGACCGTTTATTAAAAAATCGATAGTATAACATATTATTTTTATTATTATTATAGTATACGTCGAAAGTTATATTATTTTTGCATATACTATAGGTAGGTGTGTGATTGTGATGTACAACATTAATTGTAAATTGTGGTCACACGCTCACAAGTGCATTTAATGTATAAAGCGGACGACGGAAACGTTTATCGGCGATAGAGTTGTAACATACACGATATCATGATTCCGATGTACCTATAAATTATAGTTTATAATTCGAGTCTTATTTTATATGTTTCTCCACGGTCGACGTTAAAATATCATAATTATATATATATATATATTTATTATAACCGGTATAAAATATAACGTTTGTTTTAATTTATTCGAATTTAAATTTGATTTCGAGTGTACCTATACCTATATACTGTATATTTCAATCAGACTCGACAACCGTAAGGTATTAGTATTTTTTTTTCGTAATTTTTATCGCTGTCACGTAGATTTTTACCAAAATTTCGAGTAAAATTATATACCCAGGGCCAGTGACTGGGTACTTAAATCTAGGTACAAAATGTACACCAAAGTAGATAATGATAAAATACTTTTCATAATATATCTAAAAAATACTGGCTTATATTTGTTTAACGTACATATTATACTGTAATAGTGTATAATATATATAATAGTAGTAGGAATAATAATAATAGTAATAGTAGTAGTATTAATAATAATAGTAGTAGTAATAATAATATACACTTAAGTGAAAATTATGGAGTGACGATAACCTTAAATATCTGAGAAAATCGAATACAGCATAGAAACGTGTATTCGTCGCCACAGGGCAAATAGACAATCTTTCATACGCATAGTACCTATAATTTTGTGCATAATGATTTCATATAATTTTACCAGCAACTATTTATTATTATCATAATATTGTGACCTAAGTGCAATAATATGATGTGTATAGTGTATACAGCTGTATATTATATAAGTATTAATTACGATTGGCATATAATCTGATTGTTTGACAGGTTAATGCGCTGGTTTGTGAATACCTATACGCGATGATATTATTATACTATGCATCATAGGTGAGCAAGGGTGATTTAAAGATATATTTTTTTAAACTATATATTAAGTTAAGTTGTCTACTTTTTTTTTCAATTAAGTAAATAGAAATGTTCATTAAGACTATAACCTATAAGAAGTAGGTATTAGCTATAATATAATACTCATATGTATACATCAATTAGGTTAATGAATATTATACTAGACATAACATGTGCCTTATTAACTCAACTACAACTAATTAAATTTACAAATAATTTGTTTAGCATAGGTTTCTATTGGTTTCTTTTAATATCTCATATAACAATATACTTATTCGTTTTGTCTTATTTAATAAGATAATATTAACTTATAAACTTTTTGCGGTAATCATATTGTTTTTAGTTTTTAGTGTCAAATAAAAATTGTTTAAACGAAACTTAGTTTTTTTGTTAAGGAATTTTATCGTTTAAATAAATGGTTGCCATCATTATAATAGACAATAGTGTAGTGATAAGTGACAACACTGTCCACCTACTCGTGCCGCCGAACCGACGTCTAGTATGTCCTTAGTCTTTTGGTGTGTGTTGCCGTGTGTGTGTCTGCCGGAGTGTGTCCGGACTGCACACGCTCACGGGCACTCATTTGTCTTTTTTAAATTTGTTATTAAAGTTATTATTATTATTTTTCAAAGCATAATTATTAAAGTGTCGAGTAATTAATTCATATTAATTGAGCCTCGTGTTTTGTACTTTTGTGTCACCTAACTAACTAGGTACTTCAATTCCTGACATCAACGAGCTCCTACAGTTCAGAAGTGGGATTCTATCCAGCAGCCCACAAGAAATATTGTGTATTGACATAATTGTGGAATTAGTCGTTGTGTAGTTCTGGGTTGTAACGCATATTTTGTTTTGCGTAACTTAATTAGTTCAGTCAAGATGGCCGACGGTCAAACGGGTCAGGATGATGTCGGTAACCACGAGGGTTGGTCATCTAGCCGTTTAAGAAGCGGATCGCAGGCTACAGTGCAGCCACCAGTACAGTCTACGGAGCAGCTAAATACGCAGCCAACAACAAGCATGTTACCACAAAGTTCTAACCAACCGTCCGGGAGTGTAACCACCGCCAGTGATAGTGGAATGCAAAATGCATTGTCAGCGCTGATAGAGCAGAACCGATTGTTGTTATCGCGGATATTGCGTAATGAAGACAATAACAACATAAACAACGATAACATACAAGCGCGGTCAACCTCCAACAACGGCTATTACGTCATGCCAGATTTTAATAATTCGATTAATATTTTTTCTGGTCGTGAATCCAATACAGATGCGAGAGCATGGTTGAAATCAGTCGAAGGTGTAGCAAAATTGCATAATTGGCCAGACAGTTTTAAATTAGAAATAGTACGTACAAAATTGGATGGTCCGTCCCAAAATTGGTACATTGGTCGTACATTTTCAAGTTGGGGAAGTTTTGTCGACCAGTTTAATAATACATTTGTGGGAAACGAGTCGTGCACAGTTGATCGTATAAGAATTATGTCAAACCGCGTTCAAGCCAAGGGCGAGTGCGTCATAGAATATTTTCACCACAAAGCGCGCCTCTGCCGTGAAATTTCGTTACCATTTAACGAGACTAAACAACAGATAGTTGAAGGTGTTTATTCTCACGATTTATGTAACTATTTGATAGCGCGCACACATTTAAGTGAAGACGAATTATTGGCTGATATAAATTCTTACAATAATCTGAGAAATGCCAGGACCAGTCGAATTCGATCGACCGAGCCTGTGAAGACAACTCAAAGTCATACCGGCAATCGAAAAGCCAGTTCTGACAATCGCGATAAAGATCGAAATACGGTACAACGTTCCACTATTGATTCAAGAAGTAAGCCAACAAGGGATATGTCGAATGTCACGTGTTATAGCTGTGGAAAAATCGGACATCTGGCGTCTTCGTGTCCAACAAGAACCTGTCATAGCTGTAAATCAACGGGTCATTCAGCGCGGTACTGTCCAAGTCGCCAAGGTGAGCGTCAAGACAACAACGGTGGTGAGCATGTTTCTGTTTTAGAACGGTCCCCCACACCTATTGTACCCCCATATATGTTAGATGTTAGCATTAAGTTCCCCAATGGTGAGTCTATCGATGCACAAGCTTTAGTAGATACGGGTAGCCCGGTTAGTCTCATTAAATCGACAGTTGTCCCATTCGTGTCTGGGTTCATGCCTCCAAAATCGGATTTAGTAGGTATTAATGGTTCTAAATTAAACATTGTAGATCAATTTGATGCGGATATTTTCCATGCCGACCTTGATGCCCCGATTAATATATGTTTTCACGTGGTGCCTAGCAATGCCATGAGGAATGATTGCCTATTGGGTCGTAATTTTTTATCTCACCCTAGAGTAAATTTGAATGTGTCGGATGGTCGTTTTGAAGTAAGCTTTAAAAAAATTGATAATATACCATTTGCTGAAATTTTATCTGTTAATTACACTGATCATAATAGCGATGATGCTGACATTAGTTTGAATATTGAGGATACTCTGTCGGATGATATTAAAACAAAAATTAAAAAAATATATGACGAGTCCTATGTTAATCACGAAAGTGTCATTAGTACGACTGACAATTATCGTCCAGAAATACGCATTATACTAAAAAATGACAAACAGTTTTATTTTCGCCCCCGGCGCTTGTCTTTTTTTGAAAAAGACTGTCTACAAAAAATGTTAGATAATATGTTGAATAAAGGTATTATTCGGCGAAGTAGTTCCGAATACAGTAGCCCCATAGTCCTGGTAAAGAAAAAAAACGGAGAGTTAAGAATGTGTGTTGATTACCGCGAACTAAATAAATACGTAATAAAAGACCGATATCCACTGCCGTTAATAGACGACAATTTAGATTTATTGCGCGGAAAAAAATATTTTACATGCTTAGATCTGAAGGATGGGTTCCACCATGTATATGTCGCTAATGACTCTATTAAATTTACATCTTTTACGACACCGTTAGGACAGTTCGAATTTTTAAAAATGCCTTTTGGGTTAGCCAATGGACCAGCATGTTTTAGTCGTTTTATACAAAATGTTTTTGACGAATTTATTCGCAAAAATGAAGTTGTAGTATACTTCGACGACATTATGTTAGCCACGGAAACCGTTGAAGAGCATCTAGAGCTCCTATCGAGAGTGTTAAAGGTAATGAAAAATAGACAGTTAGAGATCCGCCCCGACAAGAGTAAATTTTTGAAACGTGAGGTACTCTACCTAGGGTACTGTGTAAACCAATACGGTATTAAGCCAAATCCAAAAAACGTTTCGATTATTGAAAACTATCCTGTACCACAAAATAATAAAGAACTACAGAGTTTCATTGGTTTATCATCATATTTTCGACGTTTCATCCCGAACTTTGCAATTATTGCCAAACCACTTTATAATTTACTAAAAAAAAATATTTCATACGAGTTCGGAGAGGAACAAATGAGGTCGTTCGATTCCATTAAATTGAAACTCGGGGAACAACCATTGTTAGCTATATATAATCCCAATGCAATAACAGAGCTCCACTGTGATGCTAGTAGCCACGGATATGGCTCCATTTTATTACAAAAGCAACCCGATAATCAATTCCACCCGATTTTTTATTATAGTCATAGGACTACTGAGTCCGAATCGCGATACCATAGTTATGAACTAGAAATGTTAGCCATTATAAATTCTATTAAACGGTTCCGCGTATATTTACAAGGTATACAATTTAAAATAATAACAGATTGTAATAGCGTTGCACTGACACTACAAAAAAAAGACATAAACCCTCGAATCGCTAGGTGGGCCATGTTTTTACAAAATTTTTTATACGAGATAGAGCATAGATCCGGGTCGCAGATGCAGCACGTTGACGCGTTAAGTCGCTGTAACCATATTTTAGTAATAGAAGGTTGTACGTTTAATCAATCCCTGGCTATTAAACAACAAACCGACCCCGAAATTAGATCTATTTCCGGAGATCTGGAACAATCAGAACACCCGCTGTTTGAGTTACGTAATGGGTTGGTATATCGAAAAAATAACGATAGGTTACTATTTTACGTACCGTCTAGCATGCGTGACCAAGTAATACGTTCGTGTCATGACGACATGTGCCATGTAGGAACATCTAAAACACTTGAGTTAATCAAACAAATTTACTGGTTTCCGAAAATGAGTGATCACGTTAAGACATACATAAGCAATTGTCTCAAGTGTATTATATTTTCGCCTAAAAACGGTAAAGACGAAGGGTTATTAAATTTAATTGACAAGGGAGACAAACCATTTCAGACAATTCATGTTGACCATTATGGTCCGTTAAATCAAACTTTTGGGCGTTTCAGACACATTTTGGTTGTGGTTGACGCGTTTAGTAAATTTTTGAATTTGTATCCAGTCCGCACAGTTGCCGCTAAAGAATCATGTTTACGATTAACACAATACTTTTTACACTATAGTAAACCTATAAAAATAATATCGGACCGTGGATCATGCTTTCGTTCGGATGTGTTTAAAGAGTTTTGCGAACGTTATGAAATTAAACATATTAAAACAGCAGTAGGTACGCCGTCGGCAAACGGACAGGTGGAAAGATACAACAGGGGTTTAACGGTGATGTTATCGAAACTTATGCACGAGCATAGTCAAAATTGGAATGAGTATTTGTATCAAATACAGTTCGCTGTAAATAATACGTTTAACAGATCGATACAGAATACACCTAGTAAATTGTTATTTGGTATTGATCAAATAGGAGAGCCAACAGATTATGTTAGATTATACTTACAAGCGCTTAATGAATCTGAAAATGATCAACGTAATTTTGATAAAATTAGGCAGAATGCTCAGGAAAACATACGTGTAGGACAACTAAATAATAAAGCTTACTATGATTCGACTAAACGACCGGCCACGCAGTATTCTGTTGGCGAATATATCATGATTAAAAATGTTGATACTACACCGAATGTTTGCAAAAAATTATTGCCTAAATTCAAAGGTCCATATAAAATAGATAAAGTCCTCCCTCATGACCGATATATTGTTTCTGATATTGAAGGGCACCAGGTAACCCAAATACCTCTGAATACAGTTGTCGCTGCGAGAGACATTAAACATTGGGTTAAACAGTATTAATTTTATCTGATTGATTTTGTAAGTAATTAAGTATTAAAAAAAAAAAAAAAAAAAAATGTATTTTGTATTTTTAAGCATTATCACCTACCAGGTACTTCAGGAAGTGTTCTCTTATTACTATCATTATTTAATTTTTATTGTTCATATTTTATTTTCAATTTTCATTGTATACATAATATTATACTTAATCTATTATATTGTAATTTTTTTTTTTTTTTTTTTTTTTTGTATTGTATTATACGGATCGAGGACGATCCAAACGTCAGGTTTGGCCGAGCTGTAGTGATAAGTGACAACACTGTCCACCTACTCGTGCCGCCGAACCGACGTCTAGTATGTCCTTAGTCTTTTGGTGTGTGTTGCCGTGTGTGTGTCTGCCGGAGTGTGTCCGGACTGCACACGCTCACGGGCACTCATTTGTCTTTTTTAAATTTGTTATTAAAGTTATTATTATTATTTTTCAAAGCATAATTATTAAAGTGTCGAGTAATTAATTCATATTAATTGAGCCTCGTGTTTTGTACTTTTGTGTCACCTAACTAACTAGGTACTTCAATTCCTGACATCAACGAGCTCCTACAATAGTAATAGTAGAAATTAGTCCTGACTGACTAATTCATCATCGACACTAGCCGGTACCGCTGAAGCTATAGCTTATATATGAGCATGAAATTTGGTCAGAATAGTTTCGTTTTATGATTTAAAGACGTATTAAGATAAAGGATTTTCCAAAATTCACATTTTAAAGAAGTCCTCAAATAAGGATTTTGAGATTCACTGTGGAAATTGAAACTTTGTTTTGTTGATAAATGGTTGCCAATGATCGCAAATTATAGTAGTAATAGTATAAATTAGTATTTATTTTTTTTTTATATATAATATATAGACAGTTGCCACGCAATGGTTACCAGGACAGATCAGGTATACAAGAATGCATCAAATCATCGCCTAGCCTCGATTGAAGAAACCATATCTGAAAACTAAATGTATGTGTATAGCTTATATAATAATATATACTCAAAAACTACTCAATTGAATGTGACGAAAATCTCAGAGATTGTATATAGAGATATCAGAAAAAGTTTAGAGAGTAAGTATAGTATTGTAACCACGTTAAAAAATTTACCAAGTGGTATACTTCCGACTGCGGTTGCCCATCTAGGTCGAATTATTTCACAAATCTAACACAAAGTAGGTATCTACACTGACGCCGATTTGTCAGTGAACTGAGGTACACTTAAACCGAGATACACCTATACATTGCGTATAATAATTACATCATATAGAATTTTCCACAAAAGAAAAATGCACATTTATATAATAATTAGTTCACTCGGTGAACTTCCACTGTACCTGCAGCATAAAAGCTGTTTCTCAATGTGCGTAGTCGTAAGTCGTAGTCTCAATGTCCATCGGTTACTCAAAATCTATAATATTATATGGGTGCGCGTATCTATACGTTATATTATAGGTGGGCGGAAAACGCGTATACGAGGAAATTACCATCATACAGGTGTATATTATTATTATTATTATTATTATTATTCTATAGGCTATTGTATTTATAGGCATCGATAGAGATATATTATTATTATCGCGAACGGAATAGCTGTTTGTAGCGTGATCGAAACGGGCGCGTATTTTCGTCCATACCTACTATTATAATTTACACGTTATTAAAAGCGGTTTTTAATCGATGGACAAAAATTGATATTATCGAATTTCGGAATGATTTATTTCGGATGTGTTAGAAAAAAAAAAATTAAAAACCAGTCGGCATAAAAAATGAGAAAAATTCAAGTTTAATTGTCCGCGTATTATTATAATCTCCGCCGCGGCCGTTCGGTTTGGACACGCGAGTGAGGCTACGATCGCGGTGAATATTATTAAAATATTATATTCATCGCTGTGATATCGTTATACCTATAATATTATTATACGGCGATTCAAAGAGGTGAACGAAATAAAAAAACCGAACGTTCTAAGCGTCCAAACTTACATTATTATTATATATATCGTCAACGATACCGCTTGTATCATATACCTAATAATATTATACACGTCATGAAAGGTTTTTCGAAACCGCGATTTCGCAACAGCCACGAGAAAACGCGTAAAAAATATTCTCGTCGTATAATTATACCGATGGACGACCTTGACCTTCCGTCTTAAAAAAACAATGGCCAACAATTAAGGCAACCTGTGGTTTAATATACTAGCTATATAGCCAATATATAATAGGTATAATAATAATATATCAAATGTATTATGGTGTGTTCGCGTAACTCTAATGCGAATTTGATTGCATATGATGTGCCTTGATGGCCAACCAATAGTTATCAGTTATTACTTATTTGAAATACAATTTCGCTTTTTCTCGACGTGTGAGTTGGTAAGTAATTCTTACACGCGGTGACGAAATTATAAAATATTAATACACATTTTAGAACGTATACAATAATAATGCCCCCGAGACACAAGATGAGCTCGTTCGTTATAAGTTATTACATGCAAGCTGTATTTTATTTATAAAACTGAGTATTATTAGTGTCATTCAGCCATGGATCCTAAACATATTTAAGGGAGAGGGGGGTGAATAGGAATGATTGTGAGTGACATATTATAATATAATATTGGCATAATTGAATGAAAACGTTACTTTTATGTGACTTGGTGGACAATGTCTAGCCTTCTCATGTCATATTTTTAGGGTATTAGATATCTTGGTTTTTGATATACTGAAAAAATATAAAATTAATCTGTTGAAAAAGCTCAGGGGTGAGGAGGGCAATCTCCACGTCCTCACCACATGAATCTATCCCTGATAATTATCACTCTATTCAATCGTAAATCGTTGGATTCGCGTTTGTTCTGAACTCTACAGCTGGTAATCGAAATCTTGTGCAATGCAGAGCTCATATATTTATTATACACATATAGGTACGGTACGATATTATATGATGTAGGTGCCTACCTATATATTGCAGGGCTTGCAGGCGTTTTACAACTCACTTATATATTATACGTGTAGACAAGTGCTGCCGTACATAAAGGATAATATTATATTATAATTTATAACATTGTACGATGGGTGTGTACTGCAGTATACGTATATTATGTAGTACAGGTTTTGCAGATTTATCAGCACCGTAAAAAAAAACAATTTTTGTGGTAATTTACGAAACATCTGCGACTACATATAATCCGCTTCAGCTCACTGCATATTATCTTGACATAAGCCATTATAATTTATAAACACTAAGGGTTTTCGTAAAGGTTGAAAATCAATAAGATTTACAAGTATACGGTATACCTAACAATATTGCCAGATATATGCAAGTGAAATTTACATTTACTTATTTTCTACGTGTAACTGCATTAAACTAGGTATCTACCTAGCCTACCTATAATTATGTATAATTGAAATAAGATTTAGGTTAGTTTTTACAATGTATGACAATTTACCGGAATTTTCACTACAAACAAGACATGTATTTATTTAAATTAACACGTAGTTAGATATGGTCCACAACATTTTTATTATAATTGTTATTGATTAAATTCGAAAAAACAATCTTATGTTTTCTATTGTTACTTAAAAAGTTGAAATATCAGTGTTAATTATTATGTTAAAATATTATAGTTAAATATTTAGGTTTTAATGGTTAGGCAGTACAATATATTATATTACATAGGTGTATTTGGGGTTTATGTTCAAGTTCTCGAACAATAACATGGTGTGACACCCTGTATATACAAAGGCCGTACACAATCGATAATTATTAGTATAGCATCGTGTATAATATTTTGTTTTATATAGCCACACGGGTGCACTTTGGAACTATTCCCAACGCGCGGCTGTATAAAATGATATTGCTCATCACTGCCTACACCTATATAGGTAATAATTTTTCAGCCATATTATTTCGTGACACGTCGTCGTCCAATTAAACGTTTACAATCGTATCGTCTGCTGTACGCATAATATATAGGTGTGCTCTGCATATAAAGTGATCAACCCTCGTCCAACTGATTTATGGGCGCATAACGATATTATAACATGACACGATTTACCCCGTAAAAACTACTAAATATAATAATATATTATAATTATAAATAATATATATATATAATATGCCCGTGAAATCGTATACTGCGATACGCTAAAATAATAATATTATACGACGCGTTCTACCTCACATATAATTTAGGTATACACGCTGGAAACGCTGTTAGTGTGTATACATATTATAATCTAATCTAATCTAATATGTATGTGTATTATATAATCGTCTGTACATAAGAATGTCAGTGTGTGCGTACGGTGGTCGTGGGCAAGTGCATATCGTGTAGTACCTACCTGTTGGCGGTGGGCGACTGCAGGCGGCGGGTTACAGAAATAATTTAATCCGGCGCGGTGGCTGCTCAGGTAAAATTCCTGAGACCGGTCTTTGGAAACACGAACGAGTATAGGTATAATATTACGATACATACGCGTATAATAACACTCACACACAAGCGCGGCCATTTTTTTTCACCTCCTTCGAATCGGCGGCGGTCATGGCGACGACCGATGAAGTTGTAATAATATTATAATCAAACGATCATCTGAAACCCATCGTCTCCGCGGTGCAGTGTCCCCTGCACGGCCGCCGCGGCGCACACGTAATAAATAATAATATTATATTGTTATTGTTATTGTTATTGTATGGGACGAGCAGCGAATTACACGCGTTTACACGGTCATTATTGTCACCGTCGGCATCATAAATCGCGTTTAAATAATAACCCATTATTATAATTACAATATCATTCCTGTATATAATATAATATATATATTATATCGTCGACGAGTCGCAAGCGAGATCGTGTATACTGTATATAGCCTTCAGGCAACATTCCCGACGTTATTCTATATCCGGTATACCTGTCATGGTATATGCGGTGACTTGCATACGGAATCAGACGTATTACCAAAATATTGTCATATAGTTTAATAA